GATGATGTGTAGTCATTTTAACTAATTGTATGGGATGATCAGAAAATTGCCCAAGATAATCAGTTATTTTTTCATCGTCCAAGTAGAAAATTCTGGCTAAATAGTGTGATTATCTAGACGATACTTAACATTTTGAACTAATCGTACATGACGATATTCATCCTGGCTTGGATGATCAAAACAAATAGATCTTCTAATCATCCAGACTTCCCCAGATCATCCTTGCTGATTGAGCTGAATTTGTATAAATCGTTTGGGATGATCTATCGATCATCATAGACAACATTCATTAATTTATTGAAATTTAGGGCAAATTTAAAACCCTTCTGTTTAACACCTCTTATTTACTCAAGTTGTCCTAACCTAAGAGAGGCAAGAGGAGAGGGAGAGCAAGAGAGAAAAAGAGAGGATCTTATGAGGGGGAGTTTGTGAGGGTTTCACTAAGGTTGCTCCAAGTAAGTATCTGAATCATCTTCTCTGGTCATCATCCCTGATTCCTTGGAGGTTCGAGAGAGGCCTACTTCAATAATTAATCGAGTATCTATTCCTACTTCAGTAGGAAGCGAAAGGAGTTAGGTTCTCTGCCAATATTAAGAGGAAGCAAAAGGAGTTGGGTTCTCAGCCTCACCGAAGATGGTGGAAAGGAGGTTTGTACAGGCGTCTCCACCTTGCTGTGGTAGTAAAAGAAGTATCACTGAGTTTAGTGCAATACCCAAAGGAGAGGCTCCAGGGAGTGGACATAGCTCAAGTTGACCGAATCAATATAAAATTGTATGTGTTCTTTTTTATCACATTTCTATATTTAATTTTTGCACTTTATTTTTATAGTGAATTATTTTTTGGTTTACGATTTTAAAATATTTCAAAAGATCATGAATTTTGTTTGAAAATTTTTTTAAATATCAATTCACCCACCCCCACCCCCTCCACCGCCACTATTTCACCCCCCCCTCCCTCTCGGTTAACCTCGGGTTGCTAATTTATAAGGGCTTAATATCCCTAACAAACTTTCACCTAGGCCTTTAGCTAAGAAAAAAGGCAAATTAGCCATTTCTAATGATCTGATACAAACTATAACTCAATTAAAAAACCATCTTCACGTACACTTGGTCTAGAGTCTAATATTCCTAAGATTGAAAAATCCAAAATTGGCCTAATTTTAATAAGATCATTAAAGGTAATGATGTATTTTTCGTATCATTTATTAGAGCCTTCTACAAATAATGAGGCTAAGTATGATTATCTAATAACTAGTTTGAAACATATTATTTTTATGGATATAGAAGAAATCAAAATATTTAGGGACTCTCAATTAGTTATCAATTAGATTGCAAAAACCTACATGGTTTTGAATCCAAAACTCATAAAATACCATAAATACACAAATTATTTTATAAAGTAAATTTCTTAAAACTATATATAGAATTCCTTGTTGGAGAAATTTGGCGGTGGAATCCTTAATAAAGCATGCAAAGGAATTTGCTTGTCTAGAAGAGGACTATTTCTATAAAAGTTTAGAGCCTATGGGTTATAGGTCTTATAGATTTTGAGCACATCAATAAGAAATCTTCTAAGATCCTTCTGCCTTTCCAATAAGTGATAAAAAAGGTAATTGGAGATAGCCTTTCATTGATTATATTTAAGAAGAAAAATATCATCAATATAAATGGCTTGCCAGTCTAATCAAGAAACATGCCCTCTCATATGTACTCATGAATGAAACCCTATGCTATCTATCATTCAATAAGATGTAGCTGCATTATCTAAAATGCATGAATCCCTAAAGTTGATGAATTGGGTCCAAGCTGGATTATGTGGTGCTCATCAGTAACATCCTAATATGAAAATGAATATTAAAATACTTGGATATTATTGGCCTTCCATGATTGGAGGCATGAATGTTACAAGATGTTATCATTAGTGTCAAGTTAATGGTGTAGCCTTATATAAACCATATAATATGTTGTATCCTATGGTATCTTTATGGCTCTTTGAAAGTTAGGGAACAAACATTATTATGCCTGTTGAGCCTCCATATTTAAATGGTCATCGCCTCATTCTAGAAGAGATTGATGTATTCTCTATGTAGGTCAAAGAAATTCCCTTATGCTATATGACATCACACCATGTTATGAAATTCTTGTATTACCATATCATATATCAGTTCGACGTGCTTCATTGAATCATATTCGATAATGGGCTCATATTTAAGTTAATCTATTACCTATGAGCTAATGGAATGGCTAAGGCCTTTAATAAAACATTGGTATAAATCATAAAAATATCTTAAATGAAAATAAACACCAGTGGGATGAGGGTTGGTAGATGTATTGTGGGCCTACAAGACTACCAATAGGACTAAAACACGATCCACTATATTTTCCTTGGTGCATGGGTATGAGGTCGTGCTCCCATTAGAAGTACAAATCTTATCAATTAGCTAATTATAAAGGAAATAACCCAATGCTTTTGGTCAACGAGGCATTTCCTTAAGAAATAATATGCTTGAAGAAATTCAAAAATGAAATCAATGAAAAATTCTTTCGTTTCAAATCGTATTAAATTAAATTATTTAAAATCAATAAAAAATGAAATTTTCAATCCTTGATGTTATTTATGAGTCCTCATGCTTTCTTTGCATAGGATTAAATCTAGTAGTGGTGAAGCAAGCTCTTTACGGCACCATCCTAACATCAAAATCAAAATCAAAATCCTTCTATCCTTAAGGTTGGGTGTGAGTCCCCATGCTTCCTTTCTTTAGGATTAAACTTGTTAGTGATGGAGCAAGCCCTCTGTGGGCCAACCCTAGTATTAAAATAAAAATCTCAAGTCATGTAAGGATAGGAGTGAGACATCGTTCATCCTTTACTTAAGACTAAATTCATTTGTGATGGAGCAAGCCCTTTGTGACACCATCTTAGCATCAAAACTAAACCAAAATCCTTTGATCCCTTAGTAATAGGTGTGAGTTCATAAGTCTGATCTTCTAAGGCCAGGGTTAAGCAAGTGTTGGTTTTAAGTTTTTCGGGTCCCTTGATATCTGAGCCACCTCTTTAGTATCTTAAGGTTAGGTTTGAGACCCTGTGTTTCCTTTCTTTGTTCTAGAGGTAAATCAAACTCAAATGAAATCCATCTATAAGAATATTTTTATGATTTTATATAAAGTTCTTAGAATAACATACAAGGAGTATGGAGTCATTTTAAATTTTTATGTTTAATTAAATATAAAAGAGTTATGAAGGTTAATTAAAGTGGAATATTTATTATCTAATTTGGAAATCAAAGAGGAAAGAAATACCCTTAAGGAATATTTTCTTCCATTTGGAGATCCAAATTTGGATAACATGGTATCCAAAGATAAAAATATACCCCTTTGAGGAAGAGCTCTTTTCATTTGGATATATGTACTTGGTGGATCTAAGGAGTGAGAAGAAATGAGTTGAAGAAAAGAGGACAATAAAATATTATACTTTATAACTTACATCATTATATAAAATTAGAAATCGGGATGTTAGTGGAGCCAGCCACTTTTAATTTCTACCAATCATTAATTGAAATTAAGCAGCACTTGTGAGATGGACTTTTATATTAATTTGACATGTTTTGATGGGTATGATTTTATTTAAATTATATTCTTTAGAAATTACCTATTTTTTTAGGTTTATTACTTGCATGTGAATGTTTTAGCGTAGATTTTATTAGGCTCTTAAAAATAATAAAGCTTTTTCTACATGTAATTAAACATAAGAAAATCTAGCTCACAGAGAAAGATAAACACTCATAAGAAGTTTACTCACACCGGAGGTTTTTCAAGCTTACATACATATCTTCTCTTGTTGCTAGGGACCTCCCAACCGCGGGTCGATAGACCACTTGACCTATTAGGGTACAGCTTTGTCTAGGGTATTTTTTTGGATCTCTAAAAAAATTATTTTTTAAGTCTATTTTTAAAGGTCGTACAACAAAAGGAAATTCATTTTCAGAAACTAATAGATACATCTTTAAAGGTCGTACTTGGCAATAAATTTAACATTCCTCTCAATGTCATAATAATGATGAATTTGATGTAGTTTTACCCATTTTGAGTCCTTTTATGTTTTGAATTTCTTTATTATTGTTGTTGGTTATGAGCTTTGTTGCATTATGAAACATTCACAACCATAGAGATATATAGGGTTAGCATTATAGCTTTATACGATGATTTAATACAAACATAGATAAAAGAGATGTATGCAAGAGTCATTTGAGACGCTAATTTTTTTTATGTGGAAAATCCTGGAAAAAAAGGAAAAACCATAGGTTCTGGCCCGGTAAAAGGATTCTATCTGAATTTTTAGTTGATTAAAATAAATCTCTTCCTCTCTAAAAAAGGCCTTAGCCTGATGTTGTAAATATACATCATACAGAGCTCCTTAAGTGGTGGGATTTAAAAGAATCCATTTGTATGAAAGTTTTTCTTAAAAGAATGTTGGTCTATTCGTTTGGTCAGTAGGACATAAACAGCTGACTGAGGTCAAATAGGGTGTAGTCGATAGATGATAAAGGTTAGAGGGACCGTTGTCAATACACGATGGAGTCTGGAGGGACCGTAGTCTATTGAAGATGCCATTTTGAGGGTTATAGTCAATGGGTGAGGGAGGCTGAAGGGAACTTACTTATCTATATATAGAATCTATACATATATAGATAAGTAGTGCTCGGGATTCAGATCATAAGGAAGTTATTTCCTCTATCTAAGAATAGAGTACTAGGGTTGTCAACCCCTTCTTCTTGGGAATACATTTGGTCTTGTTTCCATTCCGCTCCTCTAGTAAGTCGAATTAGGTTAGCTCTTGATATCCTTCTAAGCCTAATTCATGTCTGCCACCGTCGCTTTACCAGGCATGCCTTTTCCATGCGAGCATCCTTAGAGAAGGAGAGCTTCAGCAGTCGATAGAGATCATAGGCCGGGATCATAGTTGGAGGGTAATGTAGGTCAAAGAGGCCGTAGCCAGCGAGCGATGGCGATTGGAGGGACCATTATCGGTGGGTGATGGTTTTCGGAGGGATCATAGTCCATGGGTGATGTACGGTGGTCAGAGTGATCATAGTTGATGGTTAATTGTGGTCAAAGAGATCACTGTTGGCGAGCGTTGTTGTTAGAGTGACTATAATCCATGGGTAACATTGGTCGGAGGGACTATTGTTGGCGAGAGGTAGTGGTCAAAGGAACCTTACTTGATAGGAAATGGAGGTCAGAGTGGCCGTAGTCGGTGAGCGACGGTGGTTGGAAGGATTATATTCAACGAGTAAAAGTGGTTCAAGGCATCATAGTTGGTAGACAATTTTGTTAAGAGGGGCCCTAGTCACTGGCCGACAGTGGTCAAAGGTATTATAGTAAGTGGTCCATGGAGGCCAGTGGGACTATAGTCAATAGACGATGGAGGTTGGGCGGACTGTATTCAGTGAGCGATGTTAGTCTTAGTGACCATAGTCGGTGGTCAACGATGCTAGTAATGGTCGATTGTGGACGAAGGGATCGTAGTTAGCAGGAGATGGAGGTCAGACTGAACGCGGTCTGTGGGAAACAGTGGTTGATGGGACTGTAGTCAGCGGGCTGTGAGGTCAGATGTAGGCCTTGTGTTTATTGTCAGATGTAGTTTCGATGGAATTAATGGTGAGGGTTCACTAGTGGTGGTGCCAGGGTGGAGCTTGAGGGTGCTTCGAACCTTATAACTCTTTTGATCTCAACCCAATGTCCAAGTTTCCAAAGGTCCAAACCCTCAAAAGTTCCCCCAAAGGTCCTAACTCTCCTCCCCATTGGTCCTCATGCAGAAGGTGGGGTTTCTCCTATAAATTTTTATAGTGGCATGCCCCATAAATGAGAAGAAGATCCAAGGTAAAATTAAAAGCATTCCATCGAACGACTCATACTTATTCCCTTAATCATGAAGCACTTATCATGAATTTAAGTTCCTTAATGATGTAAGAATTAAGCAATCTTGGGATCGCTGGATTTGTCTCGTCGAGCCGCTCAATTTAACTATAAGCATGCCATATTTAGATATCATTTGGTCATCCAATTAATGCTTTGAACCTTCCAAATATACCCCAATCGCTTGATTTGGACCCATTTTGGCTTGGATTGGGCTGGTTTGGTGTCGTTGGGGTCATCTCCTTGATACGTTCAATTTTATTATAATTTTGCTAAAATCATTGTTCAGATGGTCCCACATTTAATTTTGGAAGTTACCAACTAGAATATACCTCAATATTTGTGCTAGATCAAAGCAATTTTTGGTGATGTATCAAGCTTTTTCTTCAATAGTTTTTTATTAAGTATTGTTGCTCGCTTTTTTGTTGCAGCTATATGCAAGTTTTTGCATTTCTTACACTTGATCTATAAATGCTTTCTTCCTTTATAGTTATTCTATAGTCAATGAAAATGAGCTTTAACCACCAATTTTCTCATATATATAACATTTATTAAATACACCGTTGGAACACGTAAAATGTATTTTTAGAAGTGTCAATCAAATAATAGCTACATATACTACAAATACCGGAGAAGTCAGAATGTGAAATGGCCTGCATGACACTGTAATTTTGACTTTATCTATTGCACATGCCAAACTTTCAAAGACCAATTAAAAGTGTTTACCAATTCATATAAAAAAACTTTGTATGCAAAATCACATACAGATCATTAACAATGACTTAATCATACATAAATCTATCATTTTCATAATATCAAAATTCACCAAAAATTACATGTAAAGGGTGTGATTACTGATTAGTATAAATTTAACATTCGACATCCTCTTTTCTACTCGAAATATTGTAGGTCATACATACAAATCATGCAATCCCTTCTGTTTTCCTCATCAATCCTCTTATTATTCCTAATCCAATCTTTCATCCAATTTCTTCTTAAGAGTTATAGAAAAAAGCATCCTTTTCCTATAACAATTCAAAACACGAAACTCCCTCCTGGGCCATGGAAGCTCCCATTTTTAGGAAGCATTCATCAATTTATAACTAGAGAGCAAACCCATCAAAGATTATGCAGGCTTGCCAAAACATATGGTCCTTTATTTCATATTAAGCTTGGCCATGTAGACTTTGTGGTCGCATCTAGCTCAAGCACTGCTCGCGAGGTGCTTAAAACTCATGATCATGTTTTAGCCTCTCGACCCACACTCTTAGCCATTGAGAAAATTTGTTACAATTCGAGCGGCATTGGCTTCTCCCCGTACAGTCCTTATTGGAGACAGCTACGTAAGATTTGTACTCAAGAGCTTCTAAGCACTAAGAAGGTTAAATCTTTAAGCTTCATCAGATATGAAGAAGCTCAAAATATTCTATATAAGATCAAAAGAATAGCTGGATCTCCGATGAACCTAACGGAGATGTTTCAAGAAGTTACTAACAGTCAGATAACTAGAACTGCATTTGGAAAAGAATGTACGAGCCGACAAAGGTTCATATTAGCCATGAAGGAGACTATCAAGCTTCTTCCGATGTTAAAGGCTGCCGATTTATTTCCATATTTTAGCTCTCTTATTAGCTTTTTGGATGGGTCAAGCTACCAAATGAAGAGGCTGCGTCGAGAGATGGATTATGTCTTGGATGAGATAATTATGGAGCATAAGGAAAAGAAAGTAGTTACGCATGAAATGGAGGAAGATTTGGTCGATGTTTTGCTGAGGATTCAAGAGAAAGGAGAGTTGCAGGTCCCCTTAACAACGGATAATGTCAAAGCTGTGATCTTGGTAAGTATCCACTCATGTCTCTGAAAATATTTAAATATTTATTTCTCGTTATTTGATAGAGTAAAAATTCTAGTAAGTGTAAGGTTTCTTCTCATAGTTTGGTTTTATTTTCTAAAATATGTCTAAAATTTTCTGACCGAAATTTTTGATCTAATAACTTCATAATTTTTTTTAATTGTAGTTCGTTTGTAAAATCTCTTAATTTGCTAATTTTATTTCCAGGATCTGCTTGTAGCTGCAATTGAGATGACATCAAACACACTGTGTTGGATCATGTCGGAGCTAATATGTCATCCATAAGTAATGTGTAAGGCTCAAAAAGAGATAAGAGAAGCCCTTGGAGCAAAAATAAAAATTGAAGATAATGATATTCATGAGTTGCACTACCTTCATAATGTCATAAAAGAAACTTTAAGATTGCACCCTCCATTACCTTTGCTTCTTCCTAGAACTTGTAATGAGCCCACAGAACTATGTGGATTTATGATATCGAAAAAGGCTCGATCGTGTCGTAGTTAATGTGTGGGCAATTGCAAGAGATCCAAAATTTTGGGAGAATCCCGATAACTTTTACCCAGAGAGATTTGATGAGAGCACACATGACTTTAGAGGAACCAAATATGAGTATTTACCTTTTGGGTCAGGACGAAGAATATGCCCAGGAGCAACATTTGCAATGGCCGAGATTGAGCTTTTTATCTCATTATTGCTCTTACACTTTGATTGGGAAATACCAGGTGGGAAGAGCCCAATGGAGCTTGACATGGAAGAGGAATTGGATGGCACGGCTAGGAAAAAAAAAGATTTATATCTAATTGCCACCACTCATTCCTTATGAAACATTTTTGAATGTTGATTTGAGAATGCTTTTTTTTAGCAACTCATTTGATCTTCTTTCTACCCATAGATGTTTACATTTACATGTTTCTGTATCTTTAAAGTTTCTGTTTCAGTGTAAGCATTTTATAAATATAAAAAGATAAATTATGGACAGCAAGCATCTCTACTTTAGCTAACTACATTATTGTCTACGATCCTGCTTACTGTACTTTAATTAAGTACTGCATAACAGATTATAGTGAAAAAAAATTATAATTTTAATTATTATAATTATAATTAATTGAAAAGAAACATTCAACTTTGATATTTAATTGTTATCCTTTTGTTGTACTAAATGAACTTGGGCTTCATTTGGTACAAGTTTCTTACTGTTTTAAAAAAATGTTGTAGAAAGAAGTAACTTTTTAAAGATATTGTATAAAGCAATATTCAAGCACAAAAAAAATTGAAAGCAAATAAAAATTATAGTTGCGGTTTGAAAAAGAAGGGAGTAAAAAACTGTCTAAAATGAAACCGTAATTGTAACAAATAGTGCATTCACTCTTTCACCACATGACAATACAAATGTGGGCTCCAAAAATTCGGCCCCGATCTCTGCCCGCTTTGCTTTTCTTTTTTTTAGGGGAGTTTTAACGGAATAAGTTTTGGAGTAAATTTTGGAAGGCATATGGGTTTGTAGATAAGACACTACCCAGAGATTTCGTCCTCATTTTGTGAGGACTTCATGATCTGCGTTCTGGTTTCCTATAGGCACAAGCCCCTATATTTATTTACCTCTCCCGATAACGAGAGAGAACTTTCGATTAAGGCTAGTCGTAAATCAGATACGTAGAAAATACATGTTATCTAGCATATAATAGCATCATGGTATTGGATTAGGGAATTTGAAAAGTTTGATATTTAAAATTGGAAATTGCACCATTTTGCACTTAAAGCAGATGTTGGGGGAATGGATGATGAATCCGATCAAGATCCCATGGTTCCATCGTCCGAGGGCATCGTGGTCCCTGGTCTACTTAGTCAGAGGTGGTAGTCAACACAAACTAATAGAAGGATCATTGTCGGCAGGCATAGGTTGCTTGGTCTAAGGGGTCGTTGTAGACCTGGAGAGAAAGTTTGTCTAAGGGGACAAATTTGAATCCACCTTAGCTAATAGAGGACATTGTGCCCTATTGATTATATCCTATTGATTCATATCTCAAGAATTTGATGCAACTAAGGAACGTATTAGCTCTGGTCATAACTGGTATTTTGTGGTGCCATTTGGCAACAAAACCACTCGATTCAGAGAGCCTCGGTTCATAACCATTTATCATGCTGTGCAATTTGGTGGCAAAACTACAGGTCAGAGGACATGTACCATGTCCTTATTGGCAAGAGATAGTTTGAGAATGGATCCTAGTGATATTTTTTACTAGGCATTTAGCTCTATATGAGCTGAAGTTAAATTCGAATTTGTCCACCTCGGCAAACTGTTGTGGAGGGTGGATAGATTTTACTTTAAGTGGTTTAATGGTTGATTTCAACTTTAAATATTTTGGGAATTTTTTTTATTTTCTAGGATTTTGGATTATCTTTGAAATTTTAGATTTTTGGGTACTTGGGTGGAGCTTGCAAGGCATTTGAAAGTATTTATTAACCCCTCTAGTTGAGATAAGCATTCAACACGACCATCATCAGGGTGATCATGGGATCATTTAGAAATGTTTATATTTCGTGGATTAAACCTTGTCAACTCGGCTGAGCTGTTGACCGAGAATCGGGTTTCGTAGGCTTTATGTCTTTGCTTATGAATATTCCTTTTTGAATGCCTAATATGAATGTATAAAATAAATATCCTGGTAGACCTCACGATTGTATATTTATTTAATGATTCGAGCCATGTCGACTACTATCTCCGTGCATAGAAGGATCAGGCTCGAACATGGACTCACTATTTGACCCTCGTAGCATTCCTGACTGTCACGTGTATACCAATAATACCCTCATCGAGGCCCATGCGTGTGTTTGGGGGTATTTTATAATAATTTGCTGAGCCCTACCAACACCCATTTACCTGTTTAGGAGGATCGGGTTCAGATTTATTGACCCGCGTAACATCCCTAGACGTCACGTATATGAATATGTCATGCTCGCCGGGGCACATGTGGGTTTTGTGAATGTATTTACCCATTGTGTACCTACGTGTATACAAACTATGATGCATTTGTGGAGGGGCATTTTGAATATTTGGCAGATGTACTACAATATCACATACAAGATCACGCTTGTAATAAACCTTATGTATTTGGAGTAGAGGGTGTACTTTTTGCTTATAGTTGTTAACTTAGATCAAGCATTGATCTTTAACAAACATTTGTTAAACATGGATAATTAATTTTAGTGGGTGTGATCGAATGTGTGTTAACATTCACTTGAATGCATCTAGACGCATCACGTTGTTGCTTTATCTACATCTTAGATCTTTTTGGCTGCAACTAACACACTAAATGTGGGACTGGTCTCCCGCAATACATCTTCTATTGCTCCGGGTAATCAGGTAGATGTATTCATTTCTAGATTGAAATTGACTTCAAGATACTGCATTTACTTAAGTCTTTTTATATCTATCTATAGGAGAGAGGTAGTGCGTAAACCTGTATACTTAGAGGACTCGTATGTGTTGCAGATTTTCTATCATTATTTGCATATAGATCAATATGCTTATTCATATTTTGATGTAGATTATTGGAGTGTTGTAAAAAATTTGTTTCATCGATTAAATGCCCTCCACACCCCTTTGTGTTTTGATTATCTTAAAAATCTCCAAAATTCTTTGAGAACTCTATGTTATTGATTGATTGTAGGCACTTGTTATCCTTTCAATTTGATCTCTGTTCGCAAGAAAGTTGTGTTCGTTACATATCTAATTAACTTCTTGATGGACATAGATACATTTACTTGCATGATAGATCCGTGGGTGAGTTGTGTTCACTACATTTTCCCCATTTGTATTTGCTAATGATTCATTGAAATCGCTACACGATGATCTCAATAATCTATAAGAGATTGATGTGTGTATTTGTAGATTATTGTTGACTCTCGGAATGACTATATTTATCGATAATTTTCTCAAACACCTTCGTCAACAACCTACTATGCTCATTGTATGCTTCCTTCAATGTTTATGGAACTCATTTGTTTCTTGCAAACAAACTTAACTTGCAAATTCTTTATCCTTGTAGGTGGTTTTCCATACGCATGATATACTTGATATCATATCTTTACCCCACTTGAAATGATCATTACAAATCTATTATCGTTATCAAAGGAGAGATTCCATGTCAAAGCTTGCAATGAATTCGTGCGTGAGTCCTTGCTTGGATGAGATTAAGATAGATCTTCCTCCTCTATTTGCATTCCAATTGGAATGATAATTCCATTGGAACATTGATTATCCCTCAAATCAAATTCCTTATAGCTCATTGTTTTATGTCCATTTGAATAAGTGTAAAAATACTTATTCATCACACGAGACCTTGAGCTTGTTTCTTAGAATTCATTTGAGTTAGATCCTTTATGACTCATTCAAGTTCTTTAAGTTTCCTGCATCATGTTCAAGTTCTATGTCCCTTGTAGTCACATTGAATTCACTCATATTTGAGTCAAATGCTTGCAATTTCAAGTTCCAAATAATTATGTTAAGTTCAAGTCCAAGTTTTGTTCACTTGATTCAAGATCTAATTATAATTCCATATGGCCAATTTGTATGTTAAGTTAAAATTCAAGTTCAAGGTTGAGTCTTTGTCTAAGATTGAATCCAAATTTGCATATAAGTCCTTATGATTTATTTAAGTTTAGATTCATTTTAGATTTGAGTTTATTGTTTTAAAGTTCACAAGTCCAAGTCCATTATTATCCTTTTGAGTTCATTCAAATCCAAGTATGATCTCGTGTTCATCCGAAATTTTGGCAGCCTCCTGGTGACTCCCTCCTTTAGAGGAAACTACAAAAAATCAGTCCTTCCCACCACGAAAAGAAAAACGTGTATAGTAGGTGTTTTCGAACACCGCGGTCATATTTTCTTCATCTCCCACCATGCTAAGAAAAGTATAAATGGGTCTTCTACAGGTACCTGCTTGAAAAGGCAACTATTTTCTCGCGAGCGGGTACTTATGAATATCCTTGTCTCATCGTAGGCATCTCACCGAGTTCCCATCCTGCCATGCCAAGAAAAGCGTTTATAGGCGATTTTTTGATTCGCTACGAGCGCCGAAAGAGGGAGTTTAGGTGATTACCCGCTTCGTCGATATCACCGAGACAAACTTCCTTCCACCATGCAAAGAAAAAATGTGTATGGTGGTCATTTCGTCGCATTGCAAGCGTAGAAGTTGGGCTCTCAGGTTTTTAGGGTTCAAAGTGGTTATACCTTGGCGACCGATGAGATGGTGGGTACTAAAATCAAGACAACACAGTTTTCTCGTTTTCTTTTTTTTTCTGCTTTTTTATTAAAAATCTAGTAATAATAATAATAACATAATTATTATAGTTGATAATAATATAATTTGTAATATAATTATTATCATTAATAATAATTATAATAACATAATTATTTTGATTAATTATAATTATACAATCATCATAATTAATAATAATTATAATTACTAATAATTATAATAATATTCTTATTATAACTATAGGCAATTATAATAATACTAACTAATAATAATTAGTAACTAAAAAAAACAAAATATATACCTAATTAGTTAGAGGAGGTCAGGATTAGGAGATCAGACAGAGATGAGGCTACAGGCATAGATTCGGTCGGACAAGGAAGAGAAGGCATTCGGCTTTCTGGGTTAAAGCAGGAGGGAGATCGGGTTTGCGGTTCAGCCAAGTGAGGTTTTACGACAGAGGGGATTCAGGCAAGACAAGGATGGGGAGATCGTGGAAGGAGGTCTTGAAGTCGACGGGAAGCAGAGGAGCTGAAGGTCTCACAGATTGGAAGGCTTCAACCACAACTACAGGTAAGTAGAGTTGGGGTTTGGCTTGGGGTTTGCGGCAAGAGAGGCGAATGGAGGAGGTCTTGGGTTTCGAAAAGGCGAAGAGCGGAAGTTCTCGTGTGGAGGAAGCGAACAAGAGCTTCGTTTGGTTGGATTTTAAAGACGCTGAAGAGCAGCGATCGAGGCATGCGAAGGATTTTCAGGAAGCGACATAAACGACGCCGCATGTATAGTATTCCAACGGGATTTTTGCACAAGTTCAATGGAATTTCAAGTATGATTTAATCCCTTTTTTATTATGATATGAAGGTTAACAACAAAGAAACTATAGAGAAAAAAGTTTTAGACAATTAAATCCAAATCTTAGATCTCCTCAATATGGAAAAAAAAAGTCTCAAAAGAAAATGGATCAAAGGCTTATAATAAATAATAATAATTCATATATTTAATTCAAGTTTTATGAAAACCCTCATACTCAATTTGAAATCTCAATTATCTTCTCTTGAATTTATAGAGATCAATTGTGATTATTTTGTTATAGTCAATAATGATTATATGATATTTAAAATCTTACAATCGTGCAATGAACTTATTAAAATGACAACAAGAAAAAATAGCTGCTTTGATTAGAATTTTGAAAGTTAACAAAAAAAAAAAAAAAAAAAAAAAAAAAAAAAAAAAGAGAGAGAGAGAATGATGTCTATTTTCTCACGAAGCGAACGGTCAATCCCATATGCATGCATTCAATAGACAAATTTCCTCATAAGAGGGCAAAGATTATTTCTATATAATTAGATTTTTAATGTTTCTTACTTTTAAAAATATGATTATAAATATCAATTCTTTTTAACAGTAATAAACTTAATGATATATATTATATAAAATGTAATTAACGAGAATCCTGAAATTGCTAATACGTTGACTAATGTTGAAGGCCATTCCAATGTTGAGAGGGTTGGTAATGAAATCTTAAAAGCTCCAGAAGGTTTGGTAACACCTACAACCTCTCATGTCAAAACTTTTAACTGTTATAGACAAATCTTTTGCTGAAAATGGTGAAATTTCTAATATCTTTATCTCTGTTGATTCTATGCTCAATAATTCTATTTCCCCGCCTACTTTGGTTAATGCCGAGAACAATGACGATGACCCTACTGAAGATCAAGAGGAAGGGGAATATGTTCCTGGAAAGAATTTGCCGGATTCGATGGAGAAGGGTAATTACAATAAAAAAGGGGAAGGTCAGTCTTCTGCTACTTTTTCTGATAAAGGTAAAAATACTGAGGAGGAATGGCTTTCTAAATCACACAAGAAAAAAAAGAAAAATGTTAAAGTTACATTACCGGATACCCCTCGTTCTACCAGGGCTCAAACTAGTAACAAAAGTTCTAATGATTAAAGTCATCATTTGGAATGTTAGAGGTATTGGTGGTTCTGATTCTAAAAATCGGGTTAGGAATTTATGTCGTGTTCATAATATTTCCTTGCTTGTTCTACTTGAGCCTTTTATTTCTCCTGATAAACTGACGTCTACTGCTGCTAGCTTAGGTTTTTCTTGTAGTTTTGCTAATTGCTCCAATAAGATCTGGATTATGTGGAAAAAACATTGTAATGTTTCTGTTGTTCCTGATTTTCGTCAAGTGGTTAATGTGCAAATCTCCTATAACCAGTTTATATTTTATGCATCTTTGGTTTATGCTTCCTCCACTAAAACTGGTCGTATCCCTCTTTGGGAGTGCTTAACTAATTTTACTCATACCATTGATGGACCTTGGTGTGTTGGGGGTGATTTTAATATCATCTCTAATGTTAGTGAAAGATGAGGGGGTAACCCTGCTAATATGAATGCTATAAATGATTTTAATCAGTTGATTTCTTCTTGCAATCTAACAGATATTGGTTTTTCTGGCAACTCCTTCACTTGGAATAAAAATAACCTATGGCAAAGACTTGACAGGTTACTTTTCAATAATGATTGGATTGGTAAATATAATATGACTAGTGTTCATCATTTGAGCAGAACTCTTTCTAACCACTCTCCGTTGCTTCTTTCTATTTCTAATAGTAATTTGACGGGCCCTGTGGCTTTTAGATTTCAAAATATGTGGATCAAGCATGCTGGGGTTTTTAATGCTGTGTCTGATAACTGGAATGCGTTGGTTTTTCCTGATAATAATATTCAAGGTATGAATAGATTATGGGCTAAATTAAGTAGATTGAAACAATTGTTGAGATGGTGGAATAAACATGTTTTTAAAAATATTTTTGAAAATATTGAGGTTGAGGAGAAAGTTTTAACTACGGATAACCTTTTTCTTGAGAATCCTTCCTGCGAGAATCTGGCTAATCTTGATAAAAGTAAACTCCTTTTCAATTTGCAAAACCAGGAAGAAATATTTTGGAAACAGAAGGCTACTAACTCTATTTTGTTGGAAGGTGACAGAAATACTTCCTTTTTCCATGCTTTAGTTAACAAAAATTGTATTAAAAGCTATATTCACAAGCTTGTTGATGGGCATGGTGTTGTTTATGACAATGTTGATACCATTGTTAATTCGGGAGTGGACTATTTCTATAATATTTTCAATGCCATCAAGCATGTTTCTTCTATTGTTAACACTTGATTCCTAACATTTTGGATGATAATGATAATAGTTTTCTTACCCAATTACCCAATGAAGACGAGATTTGGAACACTATCAAAGGCATGAATGTTGAGTCGGTGGCTGGACCGGATGGGTATACTACTAAATTTTTTTGTGAAAACTTGGGATATCATTAAAGCTGATGTGGTGGATGTTGTTCATGACATTTTCAAGGGTAAGCCTTATCCTAAAGCTTTTTCTTGCACTAATATTGTTATTATCCCCAAGAAAGATAATACTACCTTTTGGATTGACTTTAGACCAAATAGTCTATGTATGTTTTTTAAGAAACTTGTGGCAAAAATTATTGCTTCTAGACTTTCTACTATTTTGCCTAGAATTATTTCCCCTAATCAAATGGGTTTTGTTAAAGGAAGGAGTTTTTTTGATAACATTTTCCTTGCTCAATAACTGGTGCATGATATTAACATTAAATGTATTGGTGGCAATATCCTTTTTAAGCTCGACATTACTAAGGCTTATGATAATTTAAACTAGGATTTTCTGTATAAAGTATTGTCTTTGTTTGGATTTAATCAGGCGTTTCTTAATCTTGTTAAGCATAGCATTGATAATTGTTTCTTTTTTGTTATTATTAATGGGAGGAACCATGGTTTTTTTAAGTCTAAGAATGGTCTTCGTCAGCTTCCCTCTTTATCATTGCTATGGAGTATTTGTCTAGGGGTTTGGATTATCTGTACAATAGGTTTACTAACCTTAATTATCGTATTGGTGGAGGTTTTCCGATCTCTCATCTTAGTTTTGCTGATGATTTTATAATTTTCTCTAATGCTTCTTTGAAAAATGTTAAATTGTTGGTTAATTTTTTGGATGTCTTTCAGGATGCTAGTGGCCTTTCTATTAACAAAGATAAGAGTAATTTTATTACTGCTAATTATGTTAATACTACTAGGGCTAACAAGATTAGTCGGTTATGTGGTTTTAGCTCTTCTTCATTGCCTATCAAATATCTTGGTACGCCTCTTACTAAAGGTAGGAGGAAGACAATGCTTTTTGATAATATCTTCACCATTTTTCAAAGAAAGTTTTTGCATTGGTCGTCTAAATTTCTTTCTTTTGGAGGTAGGTTAACTTTGATTAAAAGTGTGTTGAATTCCATTCCTATTTTTATTTTTCATACTTTGAACCCTCCGGTTAATGTTTGCAATAGAATGGAAGTTATGATTAATAAGTTTTTTTGGGGTGCCTCTTTTAACAATTCTGGCATTAAATGGGCCAAACGGAATAAACTTTGTGGTGTTTATAAGGAAGGTTCTTTGGGGTGCAAGTCTATTTTTGACATGGTGAAAGGTTTTACTCATAAGCTTTAGTTTACTCTGCATGCTAATTCTAGCCTTTGGGCTAAATTTATGTTTACCAAGTATTGTAAAGGGTTGCACCCTTTAATTGCTCATTACAAAAATTCTGATTCGGCTGTGTGGAAAAGAGTTTGTAAAATTAAATGGGAGGCTGATTTGAATATCTAATGGGGTATTCGTGATGGGGAAATTTCTTTCTGGCAGGACAATTGGCTGGGAGTTTATTCTATTGACAAGTATCTTAATACTTATACCATTGCTAATATTAAAGTTAATACTTTTTTTTAATGGCTATTGGAATATTGATATGCTGCCTGAGGTTATTCCTCATGAGATTGTTGATTTAATTATAAAAATCCCGATTCAATCTCAGTTCAAGGATAAAATTCTGTTTAATCTTTCTTCTACAGGTAATTTCAGTTTTAAAAATCTTTGGGAGAAGATTAGAGTTAAAGAGGAGGTTTCTCATACTTATCAAGCTTTGTGGCATAATACCATTCCTGTTTCTTATTCATTACTTGCTTGGAGATGTCTTAAGGGTTACCTGCCGGTGGATAGTAGATTATGGAGAAAAGGTTTTTTCCTTGTCTCTAAATGCCAGTGCTGTGCTAATATTGAGAGCATTCAGCACATTTTTTTCACTAGTTCGACTGCTCGGCATGTTTGGAACCATTTTTGCAATTTTGCTGGTTTGGATTTCTTTCTTGTAGTGGGGATTTACAGGATATTCTTACTATGTGGTTTACTAAAGGTAAAGGTCATATTTTTAATTTAATCCCTATTTTAATTCTTTGGTATTTATGGAAAGCTTGGAATGAGTCTAAGCATGAGGTTATTAAAGTTAATGCCAACCAGACTATTAGTAACATTAGAAACAAGGTTTTACAATTCATCTCTGTTAACCTGCTCTCCTAAAAAAATTTAAAGAACTGCAATATTTTGGTTGATTATTTTGGCTTAAATGTTGCTCCTGCTGCTGAGGTTACTGTGGGCCGAATAGTTAGATGGATAAAACCTGATTTGCCTTTTGTAAAGCTGAATACTGATGGTTCTGTTGGTGTTAATTCTGCAGGTTTTGGTGGGATTATTCGTAATCAACATGGAAATCCTTTGGATGCTTTTGCTGCGCCTCTGGATTTTTGTTCTATTGTGTCTGCTAAGCTTATGAGTTTGAGTTTTTGCTTGGAACGTTGTCTGAATTTGGGTTATCATCATGTAAACTTTGAGGTTGACTCTAAAACTGTGATTCATGCCATTTCTGAGAATATTATTGGTAATCCTAATGAATTTTATACTATTAGGAAAATTAGGATGATGCTTGGTGAGATGTCTTATAAGATTTCTCATATTTATCGAGAAGGGAATGTCTGTGCTGATTGGTTGGCTAAAACTGATGCTCAAAGCATCTGTTTTCAGGAGTTTTCTATTAGGGATTTTCCTTCCCCTCTCAAAGGCATGGTCTCTCTGGACAAAGCTGGCCTTCCTTATTTTTGTCATGATTAACTTTGTTGGTGGGTTTTGAGGTTTGTTCTTGTCTTCTTTTTTTATTTGGTTTTTACTATTTGGTTTGTTTCTGGTGTTGGGGATGGTTGTTCTTTGTGGCTGTTCTCTGGGGATCGGTTTTTGTTCTGTTGTCTGTTGTTGTTTGCTGCCTATGTTAATATTGAGGTGGTGATTTCCTCTATTGCTCATAGCAGCTATAAACCTGGGAGGTCTGTTTTTGCTCTGGTTTTGCCTTTATGCCTGCTGTTTGTTGATGCCAGGTTTATGATTATTGATGTGGTGATCTTTTCTATTACCGTTTGCTACTTTCTTTCTGGGGGGTCTGTTTGGCCCGTCTGGAGCTTTTGGATTATTTCGAATATCTGACATATTAGGATGGAGTAGTTAAAGGTGAATGTTTGGTGTGTTTGGTTTATACTGGAGCTGAATCTGGGTATTTCTATTAGTTGGTATCCCTTACACATTACAAACTTATTTTCTTCTATTACTTCTTATCAGACTAATCATTCCTTTTGGAGATTTCTTTGCAGGCCTAATTCTTACTAATATTTCCTGAATCTCAACGATCGCAAGGTACTCATTTAATTTATAAATTAATATTATCATTAATCAAATTGAAACATTATACTTTTTTCAATATCATTTATATTATATTAGAAGATAATTTTAACCTTAAAAATAGAGAGGGATTCAAAAATATCAACTATATAATTTGCTAATAACCTTTCACAATATTACAATTTACAAAAATTAGCCATTGATCAAAATTCAAAAAGTTTTCAAACTTAATTTCATGAATCCTGTTTTTTTTTTTTTTTTTTTTTTTTTTTTTTTTTTTTTTTTTTTGAGAGAATGCAAAGAGCAATAATTTTGTTAAAACAACTAAGAACAGATAAATTCCTCCTTCAATAAATTAATAAAAGGAGGAATACTACTATCATTCGGATCCTTCCAAAAGAAATCTGAACTAATAGCAAGGTTAGCACACATATCAGCTAACTTATTACAATCTCTTCTAGCAAAAGAAAAAATAACATGTTTAAAATCTTTAAGAAAATCTAAATCTTTGGGTTTAGAAATTCTTCTGAAATAGAATTATTGTGAAAAGCCCTTTGCAAGAGTGAAATAAAATTATGATTATCACCTTCAATCATAATACCTTTAGCATCGAGCATCCAATCTTGAACAAACCTTCTTAATGATAGAATAGAGAGTACTTCAGCTTGAGCAATGTCCCAGTGATTAATATTGTAACCAAATGCTCCATGAAACCTTCCCTTATCATCTCTGAAGACACCTCAAATATCAGCTAGATAATTATTGGATAAAGAAGAATGCACGTTGTATTTGATCCAGCCATGAGGTAGAGGAAGCCAAGCTTACATTTCCAGCACTGAGTGGTGCTGATTAGCTTCCCAGTTATCCCAAACTGGATTATCACGGAAAGATCCAAATGCAAAATCTAAAGCATTAGCGGCTAAGAAGGAGAAGCTATCTTCATTGCCACCATGAGTAATTTTATTTCTGCTTTTCCAACATAAAAAAAATCATTGAACAATATAAATTCCCAATTTTTAATTGATTGATCCAATTAATGTTTCTTCTAGCTGTAGCAGAAGCATGAAAGAATTTAGAATTGCTATCTCCATCTTTTAGCCAACGAGATTTGGATCTTTGTCTCCACTGTGTACATAAACGTCCAAGAGTTGCATTCAATTCCCGAACCTTGGATCTCAGCAGTTCAGTTTTCTGATCAGAAAAATCTTCAGTTGATGATTCTTCTTCTTGAAGCACCAAAATATCCTTTTTTTAAATTATTCTTCAACTATGATAAGTTTTTATGCTTAGCCATATTCCAAAAAATAGGGCTTTTAAGTATCTTCTGAATTTATGGTTCAAAATAGCGTCTGCATTGCCTCCAGAAGGTTTATTCCAAGCAAACCATACCACCGAATGAGAAGCCGGGTAAGAAAGCCAAGTATCTTCAAATCTCAGATTAAAATTATTATGATTAGTTGGAGAAGAAATCCTTAACATAATAGGACAATGGTTGGATGCAATACGAGCAAGATGTTTAACAACTGCAAATTTCAAGTGATTTAAAGCTATGCAGTTAAGTAAGCAACGATCCAATCTCTCTAAGATCCGAGCTTTCCCTGTTTTGTTATTACACCAAGTGTAATTGGGACCAATGAATCTAGTGTCATGAAAATCACAATCTCTCATAAATGAGAGCATGTCTTGTGCTCCTGAGACAAAGAGAATTTTTTCCTCCTTTTTTATCATCTTGAGATAAGATGCAATTGAAATCTCCTCCCATAACCATAGGAAGTTTAGCTGATTTAAACTTCTCCAATTTGTTCCAAAGAGTTCTTCTTTCACACCAATCAGTACTACCATAAATTGTGGCTATGATCCAAGAAGTTTTGTTTGTAATGTTAAATTTTCCCACCACTAGCTGATTTGAATCTTCCATAATAAAAAAACTAGCCAAGTCAAACCTCCAACATATTATTATTCCACTAGATAAACCTCTTGCTAGAAATAAATGAAAATCACAATTGTCTTCTATAACTCTTTTAAATTCCAAAGAATCTATAGAAGAAATTTTGGTCTCAATGAGACCAACAAAGATAACATCATTTTCCTTAATAAACTACTTCAAATACCGGGAGGCTTCAACTTTTCTTGCCCCCCTATAATTCTAGAAAATAAGTGAACTCATTTTGGATTAGAAGTTGGAAAAGACCCACTACTTTTCCTTTTGGTTACTTCACCTTTCCTGAGCTTTGAAGGTAAACTGACATTACCCAAAGATTTCAATTCCTTCTGGAGTTTGAATTTGATATTAGCTGGATTTTTATTTGTATATGGATTGGTAATTTCTTCATTGATATCTTAAGTACTCTCTCCATATTTAACAAATTTGTCAACTTTGACAGTACTTAAAGTTATTAGATCATCAGAAAGGAAGGAATTGTTCTTAACAGAAACAGATTTTGGAATTACATTAATTCCTGAGACATCTGTTCTAGATATTAAATTCTTCTGTCCTTCTCTAAAGACATTCAAAGTATCGTCTTTGGTAATTGTCACATTCCATCTTCATTCACATTATGTAGTAAGAAGAACATGTATTTATTCTCATCATAATCACTTGTCATATCTTTTTTTTTTATTTAACAATTCAGCAGAATCGCTGTTAGGAAACAAATCAACCTTCTCCACATTCTGGTTAATTATAACTTCTGGAACTTTTTGAGAAGAATTATGATAGGGAATACCTGAGTTCACAAGTAATCCCTTAGGATATACCTGAGTTCGCAAGCAACCCTTCCCTTCTGAAGTGTTTGATATAGAAATAGAATTGTTCATCTCCAAACCTTCCAGATGACAGTCCAGATTTTTGAGATTATTCTTCACAGTAGTAACAAAATTCTAGATTTTAGCATTGTTGTGAGCTTCAATGATTTCACCTTCTTCTATTATAGATTGAACCAAGGCTGGATTATCATTTTGAATTAAATATTTCTGTTTAGGAACATATTTCCTAAAAACTTTATTTTTTTTTTAATTTCACCTGAATCCAAGGACCTACTTCATCATGGTCTTTGGAACAATCTGCTTCTCGATTCAGATTTTTAGCAACACCATTAGAAATATGAGCAGGAGTAATTGAAGAAGGACATTTGTTCTTCAAATGACCAATCTTACCACAATGAAAACAAAGAGAAGAAATCTTCTCCCATTCAACTCTTTGGAATGATCTACCATGCTTTCCTTCAATCCAAACTCCTTTTGGTAATTTTTTATCAAGATCAATGCGAACGCATACACGAGCATATTCTCTCTTACCCCATTTAAATGAATTGCCATCTATATATAAAGGAGCTCCTATCATAGATGCAATTCTACATATATTATGTTCATCCCAACAGTGTAGAGGTAAGCACGGTAAGCGAATCCAAATAGGTGTTGTGAGACCTTTAAGAGATTGAGGGGAGAAATTGGGTGATCATCTATCGAAACCATTATATTTCCTCCAATAAACTAGGGACCTCCTTCTAGTATTTCTTCCACAGCTTATGGATTGTAAAAAGAACAAAGGATCCAATCAAGGCCCAAGGTTGTAAGATTAAATTTCCCAAATCTGGACCATTATTTTCGGAGCTCCCTGCTGCAGATTGGGAATGGAATATTTCTACCAAGGATTTTGATAACCAGAGAGTTCGTTAAAACACGAGAATTAACTTCTTCAAGATGTGAGTTTATAATAACAGGAACCCCATCATCAGTAATGGGGGTAGAATTCAAATCATAGTTGATTTTGATATGTTGTGTCTTCCTCCAAGCATTAGGAATCTTCTCTTTATCACCAATATCTAAATTTGCCAAATTTTCAACTGTAACCTTCTTACCAAGTACAGCTTGCACAAAACTCTTCTTCGGCAGATCGGTGGAACCATCATAAGGAAGCTTATCATTTGAATGAGAAGGATTGTTAATAATATTCTGTTTATTCGCATTTATCTCTGGCCAAAGGTCATAGATTGCATTTGAACAACTGAATTTATTAACAAAAATCTTCACATTAGATGAAGAAGCTTCAACATTGTTATTATCCCGGATCAAATATGCACTGGGATAGTTTGGAGTATTATCATCAGAATGATGAATAATACCTTTGCCTTTTCCCATAACATAATTGGTAGTCTTCTTCAATGGCAATTCACAAACCTCTCTGATAATTAGAGGTCTAGCAGAATTTCTAGCTCGAGCTTTTTCTTCACCAGAACAATGTATCGATTCATCTATTACCTTGATGTATCCTTCCAAATGATCATTAATGGTAAACGCGCCGACCTAAGATCGGCGGCCATCCTCCGTCATCGCCAAGAGCCGACGACGGTGGTAGCTGAAAACCCGCAAATTGAAAATTCAAAAATTTTTGGCTGTTTCTCTCTCAAACGTCTGTTTCTCTATCAAGATCCCCTTCTATTTATTTGATGAATCCTGCTTTGATACCAATTAAAAGTGTGAGATGCGCCAAGAGGGGGGTGAATTAGATATTTAAAAACTTTTTAATGAAAAGAAAACTCTTTTTATAACTTGATGTGGAAGCAATTATAATCACAATAAAAAGATAAATTATCAATTTCACTCATGTAATTAATCACAATAAAAATGTATTCGGAAATAATAAAGGAAAGAACACACCGATTTATAGTGGTCCGGTCAAAGCATGACCTATGTTCACTTCCTGGAGACACCCTCCGAGTATTACACTAAACCTTTAGTGATTCTCCTTTAGCCCCCACAACTAGGCTGAAAAGCCCTTACAAAATCACTTTCACCTTCCCTGGTACAGCGGAGGAGCCGAGTCCTTTGACACCAAAGAGATCTTCTTCTTCCCAAAACTTCCCTCAAAATGAACCTTAAATCTGATGGTATTGAGGTGCAAGCTCGTCAGAGCAACCGTGTGATATCTCCTTCACACTCCCTTAAAACTCGCTCCAAGGATCTTCTCCCTCTTTGAAACTCCACCATTTCATCTCTCCCTTTCAAATTTTCTCTAGA